GATCATGTGCTTATTTATTGACCTGTTTTTTCTAAATAACGCGGGGTTAAATACCGCGCGGCTTGAATAAAATACGATTACTACAAATGAGCCTTAACCTAATATTGAGATTTTCATTAATAGATGTCAAAAAATTTACAATCATCTGGAGGATAGCGTAAAAAATTTTTTTTGGTTAGAACATTGGGTTAGCCATTTTTTTCAAATTGGTAATATATTTCATTTGAACATTTTGGAGACTACAGTAGATGTTTTATATTACAGGCAAAATATAATGAAATGTCCTTTATTTTTTGTTTTATTCTATGTTTTAAAGGGAATCATTTTAATTCCAAGCTTATTAAGCTTTAAAGAAAGAAAGAAAGTAAAAAAGAAAGAAAGAAAGAAAGAAAGAAAGAAAGAAAGAAAGAAAGAAAGAAAGAAAGAAAGAAAGAAAGAAAGAAAGAAAGAAAGAAAGAAAGAAAGAAAGAAAGAAAGAAAGAAAGAAAGAAAGAAAGAAAGAAAGAAAGAAAGAAAGAAAGAAAGAAAGAAAGAAAGAAAGAAAGAAAGAAAGAAAGAAAGAAAGAAAGAAAGAAAGAAAGAAAGAAAGAAAGAAAGGAAGAAAAATTTTAATAAAAAAAGTAGCTACGAAAAATCTCATCTGCTGCAAAGATTTGTTTTAGAAAAACTCACTGGTTTTAATTTATACGTGTTGCATTTAGATTTTTTTTTAAATTTGCATGATTGTAGTATATGTTAGCGGCAATGTGTTTTTTCCGGCAATGTGTTATTTTTTCAACTTTAAAGCAATTTTAAGCGCGTTTTTTTAAATTTAAAAATCTGATTTTACCGGAAATGTACTCAATCATGCTTGAAATACCTACCCTAAGAAATTCAGAAAATTTTATCATGAGCTTTTGAACCTAATATAATTTATATTATTTTTTCTATAGAATTTTCATATAAATTATAATTAACTCAAAATTTATAGGTAAAATTCTCTACAATTCATAACATAGGTATTCCAAACATGCTGGAATTCATTTCCGGTAAAATCAGAAATTTAAAAAAACGCGCTAAAATATTGTTTTAAAGTTGAAAAAATAACACATTGCCGGAAAAAACACATTGCCGCTAACATATACAAGCTTACTTCATGAGATATGATCATCTTTAAAAACGCGAAGATCTCCTATCCAAGGACGAAGGATTTTAAATTAAATAAAGCTCTAGATAAGTTACCTTTAGACCATTGGCGTACGCAGCGGAGGGGGGACAGGGGGACAAATCCCCCCCCCCCCCCCCAAAGCCAAAAAATACAGATGCCGGATATATTTTTCAAAAATATTATTGTTTATATTAATTTATATTTGTTAATATTTATTCGTATCTCATATTAAATATATATTTAATTACATTTATTATCACATTCATAAGTTATTTTATCTATTAATTTCGATTTCAAGTTTTTTGACGTAATTTTCAAAATTCTAGTCAAATAATAATTATTTTTGAAACTTTTGGTCCAACATGGAAAAAGATATTGCAACCTTCAAGCAGTAATAGCTTTTAAGGAGTTAGAAGAGCCAAATATTTGCTATTATTGAAATATCACAATGGCCTGAAAGAAATAATTCAAACATTAATATAGGATCAGTAGAAGAGTAATCTTAGATACAAATACATTTATAACCCAAATAAATGAATTTTATTCATCATGCAGCACTTATTAATCTGCAAATATTACTTCCACAAAAGCCTTCCCAACCTTTTTCAGATGGTGATAGAAAATATTTGTTATTAAGATGTTAAAGTATCTTAAGCTGAATAACTATGTTTATAAGAATAACTATGGTTGATATAGTCCCAAAAAATGCTATGGATGTTCTGCATTATTTCAAACACATTTTAGATTAAATTCCCATGTATTAAAAGGGTTTATGAACTCATCCCATTAGTAAACTAATGAGAGAACATTCTCTTTTTTAAGAAGAATAACAGAGGCCTGCAGAAGTACCATTTGCAGAGCACGGCCTGGGTTTTTTTAAAGAAATTTAGGCCTGTCCGGAATGTTTTTAAAAAAATTTTGGGCCCTGTCCGGGTAGAAAAAATTAAAATACTGTCCGGCACAGGGGCCGGGCCTGCAGATCTCTGAAAAACATATTAAGAAGTACAACATCTGAAAGTAGATTGAAAGGTTTGGATCTTTTGAATATTCATAGGCATTTGACGCCAAGCAAGGATGAGATAAATAAAAATTAGCTCAATCCCAACATAGATTGGATTTTACATTGTAAATATATAACATACAAAATACAATTATTCCTAAGAAACATTTTGTGTAAAAGCTCAAAAAATTCAAATTTCTATTTTGGGTCATTTAAGTGATTCTATACATATTAGTTTTTTATAATTCACATTAATTTAAAATTGTGTATTAGGAATAGTTATTAGTCCTAATAAATTTATGCTTGATATTTTTAAAAAACAATAATATTTATTGAAAATATTTATTACCCCCTCCCCCCAGACCAAATTCCTGCGTACGCGCCTGCTTTAGACACTTAGTGTCCTTGCGGATTAGAAACCAGTAGTTCACGACTGACCAGTAATTTTTATGCCGGCCATTCCAGTAAAATTCCTTCTCCGGCTGACTTTCCAAAGCAAATATTTATGAAGAAAAAAAATTTAATTTGCTTATTAATAAGTTTTGAAAGCTATGTTGCCCTGTCTAAAAAAAAATATTAAATGATGATATTTTGAGGCTTTAACGAACCCAAACATGTTTATTTGAAAGTATACCTTATCAAACTATAGATTTTATCTCTCCAAGTTTAATAGTTATTTTGAAATATTTTAAAAAATCACGGAAATAAATTAATAAAATATCATTTTCAAAAAAAAATAAAAGATTATAATTAGGTTAATTTAATATCAAATTATGGGAATATGATATCATCGCTAAAATATTTTATATAATCTCATCATTTAAAAAAATAGTATAACTTTCTTGAACCATTTAAATTTATAAATGTTTACTTTATATTTTTGTAAAAAAAATTAAGAATATTTATTAATAATTAAAAATATTTTAAAATAAAATAGATTAGACGCTAATGAATACTTAAAAATATTTGTCTATCACTCAAATTTATCTAGTGTGCGATAATGTAAGGAAAAATTTTTAAAGGTAGGTTTGAGAGCTGATGTTTACAGATAGTGTTTTATTCAAAATAACAGATTATAAGTATTCGCAATAACAAGTGGTGATACTAATTGGGATAATAGTGATGAATGGGGATGAAGAAAGGAGCCATTTGCCTAAATTTATAATTAAGTATAATTAGAGATAAACCTTTAAGGAGATTAATTGTGGATGCAGGGAATAAATCAGCATTTGTTATCTTAAAATTGATTTCTCTCAGAGATACTGGCACCTTCTGCATTAATTTGCTAAAATTAGGATACACTCCTTTATGGGACCAAACAGAGAACTCTCATGGTTTCATTTTATTTTTGTTGAGTTACATCATAAACTAAAAATTAAGTCTGAGCTTACATAGTTTCAAAATCTTTGCACGATAACTATGGCCTCATATATAAATGCCTCCTTGAGGTAACTATGGGCAACAAATTTTATACAAATGAAAATCTTCTATTGGCCTCAATAACATAAAAATAGAGTAATCTTCACTTAACTCTTTGCTCAACTGTGCCCATTATCTGTTCACGTGAATATTATGAATATGTTTTCCTCAATAATTTTTACCCAACACCTTCCCGCCCCCACTTACCTCTCCTCAAATGTATATATTAATTTATAAAAGTTAATTATTTTTAAAATAATATCTTTGATTAAATTTTTTTAGAAAAATAAGCATTATACCCAAAATTTTTCTTCAGAGCCTTAAATATTCCTAAATATCTCGAATATAATTTATGGGAACGAACCTAATACTCCCACCCCACCCATCCCAATCTTTTTAACTAGAGGATGGATAATAGTTCCGATGTTTGAATTAGTAGGCCAGTCTGACACATCAGATATTATTAAATAATTTATAAATTTTAAAATAAGAATGATATTTGGTAGAAAATGGGAAGAGAAGCCATTGGTATGGGAAAAGGTGATCGTAAACAAAGTTCATTTTTTTTATATATAAAAACTCTTTTTACATATTATGATTGTTAGCGCCAATGTGTTTTTCCGGCAATGTGTAATTTTTTCAACTTTAAATCATTTGCTGAGGGCGTTTTTTTTAATTTAAAAATCTGATTTTACGTGAAATGCATGTCCTCATCTTTTGAATATCTACCCCATGAATTTCAGGCAATTTTTTTATGAAAATATAGAGTTATAATATTTTCTATATATTTTTTATATAAATTATAAAAGATTCAAAGGCTAACAAGACTCTCTGGTGAACCTGGTCATAGTCACCTCCGATAATTTAGGGGTAAGAAGGAGTAGCTCAAACCTGCGACAAAATGGAGAACGGGTATGCAAATATGGGTAACATCTAGCCCATCAACAATATTCTAAACGCTAGAGCGTGAACAACCAACGATCTCAGCAGACGTTGACTTAGCCAGCAGACCCTTAACATTGCTGAGGCCAAGCTCATGGTGGGTACACTGATATCTTCCTCCACGAGCGGTCGTCAAACTGTGTTTCAGGCCCAGGCTCGACCATTTACGTATTCAAAACAAGAGAGAAAGATACTTCCGTCACATTCGCTGACGCAACCTGAAGAGAATCATACACTCCAATAATTCACCAACTCTTGGCATCGGGAGCTATAAGCTATAGGGTTCTATCCTTTTTTGAAATGTATAATAGTAGTGATATTTTCGGTTGCTATAGTGCACAAATTTTTTAAGTAGTGTCAAGGGATTATAATTAACCTATAAAATTATATGTCATAAATTTCTCAGGTCAAATATAAAATCCATAAAAGCAACTGGTCTGTACCCAAATTAAAACACCTATCGACATCTTGTCATTTTTAAATTATAACAACTAGCTAATAGTTTAAAAGAATATGATAAATATAATACAAGATATAACTATCAAAGACCAATTATTGTCGTATGTAGCTGATATTGAAAATATTGTTCAAGAAATTATAAAAAATATTCTAAGCCTAAATAATTCTGAAAAAAATGGCGAATCAACTGATTCTAATTGTAATCTTTTATCTATTCAAAATGCTGTTAAAAAATTAGTAGTTAAGGAGAATATTGTAAATCATTTTATTTCGCATGATTTGAAAAATTATCTGAATTTAAAGGTATTGTTTTATATTTATATATTTTACTCCTATTATAGAATGAAATAGATAAATTGCAACAAGAGTATGATAATATTAACAAAATTATTAATGAATATATATTATTACTAAAAAAGTCAGAAGAACAATTAGCTGCTTCAATATATAAGGCTAAAGAAAAACTAAAACTAATTGATAAGTTTTGTTTGACTTATACATCATTGTTATTATTTTGAAATAGAAGTGAAATAAATAGACAAAAACCAGAGTTCTTTATAAAATATGCTCATTCCATTAGTGCCTTTAATTCTATTGTTGCTCCAAATGATTGGTCAGATAGTGATATAAATCAAAGACCTTTTTTACAAGATTTAGAAATGCGATATAGCTTTTTAAATTCAATCAAAAATCCTTCATCAGGTAGTGAGTATAAATTAAACAAATTTAAAAATATATATGCACTTAATATTATTTAATAATTTATAAATTCAAAGTATTTTTTTTTTATTATATATTCAAAATTTCATATAAATACAAATATTTTTTTTTATTATAAATTAAATTTCAAATGTAAATCCCCAACCTATTTTAGAGGAAAAATTAACATCTTATCCATATAACCCCATTTTATTTTTAACTAATATTTGTACAACATCATGGACTTGAATTTAATTTTTAAACATAGCCTTTAAATAAAATAATTTTAGTGGTACTATAAAAATCAATTTGCATAAAGTATTTGTAAAATATTTATTTGTAATAATCTTTTTCTATAATTATTTATATTTAAATTATTTTTTTTAAACATATATTTCTATTTACAAATATATTTTTTTGAAAACTTGCCAACTTTGCTCTCAGGACTTTGTCATCCTGTTGGGGCATGACTATTTAAATAGAAATTTAAGGATCTGGGACAGCTCAAAAAATATTTGGAATGGGTTTTATTTTATAAAATTAATTTATTCATTATCAATTAAGTCCTCAAAAATTATTACAATATTGAAAATTGACAAATGATACTAGGGCTGTGCCGATTCACATATTTTTCTCTGATCTGATGCTATATTTTCTGATATTGGTTCAAAACCGATTTGATACCAATACCGATTTGATATTTATATTGATTTTTCACCCACCCCCCTTGAACCAAATGTAATTTAGAAATCAATATTTTTTACCCAAAAAATCGAATTACGCATAATAGATAAAAATAAATATTATAATTATGTAAAATAAATATATAAACATAAAATAACAAAAAAAAGAAAAGTAAAAAGATTTTTTTTTAAGGCATCGGCCCGATCCGATATTTTGGAAAACGCTAAATATCGGTGCCGATCCGAACCCTATATTTAATACCGGCACAGCCCTAAATGATACCAAATGTAATATAATATTTAAATAAAAAAATTTTTTAAGAATCGCTTAAATATTCCTAATCTCTCATTTTTATCAATTAAAAAATAGATATTCTTTACATACGCTTTTATCAATGTATAAAAAAATATATTCACATTTTTTTTAAGTCTATTTTTACAGATTAAAATCTTAAATCATATAAGAAACTTGCATATTTAAAATACTAAGACACATCGTCTTTGCTGTAAAACTAGTGTTGTTAAACGGCTCGATTTAAGCCCAGTTTTTAAAAACGCTAACTCAATATTTTATCAAAAATAATATTACGCATAGCCTGAAGATTTTCCTCAAAGATGGCGCAGAGGTCCAGGTATCAATTAGCGAGATCTCTAGGTTTAGGCGATATTTTTCTGGCTAAAATATTGACTTGGCCGTTTACGAGCCGTTTAACAACACTATGTAAAACTGATGATTTTGATGACTATTTTTTAAGTTTATCAATTTTAATTCATAAATATATATGCGTTTTTTTTAATATTTTTATAGATGATAAATCGAAAAAAGTATTTAGTTACACTTCAGCCACTTATCAACACATCCTTCCCACACCTCATGAAAACGATGATCAAATGATAATCTCGAAAGATGACAAGATTAAAATTGAAAAGGAAGATACCGAATCATTTATCAGCTCTGACGAAGAAAATTTTGATAACATTATACCAATCCTATAACATTTTTACCCATCAATTTTTAAATTTTATACACTTAAATATGAGAAATAGTTTTATCGATATAAAAAAATTTGGTATTTAATTCAAAATTATAATCAAATGGAAATTTTTACCAATAATACATTAGCATTATCCTTTAGAATAATTTGTAAAAATTGAAAATTTAGTTTTATTTAATTTAAAAAAATATTTAAGATTAATCGATTAGGTAAAATATTTTAACATAATATCTATTCAACTTTCGAAACAGAAGTTGGGGTGTTTATCTAGGGGGGGGGGCTATTAAATCAGACATTTATCCCTTAGAATGGGGTTAATGATAGATACCTCCTAGTCAACATATAGCGATTTTCTAAATAACAAACTAATTTGCTAAATATCGACCTATAAATTATTCGATACATATTAACGGAATGACGTGGTCGAGTTCGACCTAGTGTTGTTAAACGGTTTGATTTGAGCCGATTTTTAAAAACGGATAACTCTATTATTAAAGCAAAAAAAAATGCTAAGTCTCCAGATTTCGCTAATAGATGTTAAGACTTTTGTATCAACTATGAGCAAAATTTTAAGACTTGCATAATATTTTTCCTAATAAAATATTGAGTTAGCCGTTTTTAAAAATCGGCAGCCGTTTATCACTAGTCCGACCTCTTATATGTCATCCTCCATAGACTGAACTTTCAAATTGGTTTTAGAATAAACTTGATCCCGAGATTCGAACCAAAAATCATCGGATTGGCAAACGACGTTTATTGACTAGGCGCTTTCCGAAAATCACAACTTTTTAGGTAGTGCCTATCCAAATGAAAAATGAGCACAATGCCAATTTGAGTGATACTGCCTTGATAGTATCATTAACCATTTTATTTCATTCTAGATTCTGCTTTAGGTAGTATCTATCATTAAACTTATAATGACGAAAGTTGCATAAATAGCTATTTCATATTTTGACTAGTGGCCAAATAATTTTATTCTAATCAAGGCACAGCCCCGAAAATTCAATTTTTTTTTTTTGAAAGGTTTTTACTACATTTTTTGACCTAAACCCAATCCACTTATTGTTCAAGTTGTAGGCTGTATAACATATCCCAAAAATTATAATTTGAAAAATTAAGAATCGCTAATTACTAGTGCTGTAAACATTACTAAAAAAATTGAACGCGTTCATCGTTCATTGACAAAAATCGAACGCGTTCATGTTCAAAAAAGGAACGCGTTCACGTTCATAAAACCGTTCAAAATTTTATGATAAATTTTTTTTAAATTAAATTTAATATAAATAAACTTAAATTTTTTAATACAATATATTTTAGCCATGTTAAAAAATAATATAGTTTTATTTTGATAATATAATTATAAATATAATATAATATTTTTATTTATAAAAATTTTTTTTATTAAATTTTAATAATAATTGTTTTCAAAATATCTAATAGACAGGAACACTTGGCAGTTAATACGGCATTAGCCTAAAAACGCGCTATACAGGGGCAGATGAGGGGATTTCGATATTATACTTAATAAACAGCTCTTTTAACATGGAGAATTAATTAAAAGCATATTGTTTTGTTATTTGCACCTCCTCCAATCCATTCTCTACTCTCGACAAAAAAAAAGGATATCTCGAAATTAACAGTTCTCTAAGGTTTTCAAAGCATTTTTTTCAATAACGCTATCAGTTTATTTTTAATAGGTTCATTCTGTGGAAGTTTTATCCATGGCCATTGAAGTTTGAATGCCGGATGTATAATTGCAGAAAGAACATATTGATCCTTATATATATGTTCAAATTTTAAAAAAAATATAATATATGTAATTAATTGAGAGTAATAGGTTTAATACCTTTTATTTATCCCATTTAATACGGCGTCTATCAATGCTTGACCATATTCGAGGCCACTAATTTTTTTAATTTTAAAATGACTCGTTTTTGTTGGGGTAAAATATCCCAAATGCATTATTTCTTCAAATTTAATGATTTAACTTAGTTATATCATATAAAATCAAATAATTAATATTAAAATCAAATAATTAATATTAAAATCAAATGTCGTTTAAAACCTGAAAATTTTGACAATATAATACTTTTTCGCCACATTTTACACTTGGTAAGCATTGGATTAGTTCCTTCAATGATGATAATGTAAAACATTTATGATAATTCATCTGATTTTGGATTTTCAGAATCAGATGATGAGAATTAAATAATAATATCCATGCTTATGCTAATCTATTCAATTAAAGTATAAACAATAATATTCAAATTAATAAACTATTAATAATTGAAATGTGAATAGGAAATACACAATCGATTAAAAAATATAAATAATACATTAAAAAAATTCGGAAATATTAATTTTCAAATAATTAAAAATATTTTTAAAATTGAACGAACGTTAAATTCGAACGCGTTTATCATAAAAAGGAACGCCTTCACGTTCAAAGTTCGTCAAAAATAAAAGGAACGCCGATCATCATTTTTTCCAAAAAAACAAACTTCGTTCACGAACGCGTTCGTTTACAACCTAACTACTACTTTGTCGCTTGCCCTCAGAGAAATATTTAATTATCAATTTCTTTTAATAAAAGAAGCGAAAATAATATTTTTTTTAGCCCATCCTAATTTATAAAAACAGAAATATTAGGCCGTGTCAAGTTGTGCTCGATTTTATTTTGACATATTCTGTCAAGCACCTCCCTCCCCCTACCGATCTTACGAACTAAGTAGCTATTTCCGATATATATTATCATTTCCTGGCAACGAATGAAAGACTCCAAATGTATTGCCTAGAAAAGCTCTATCTAATAAAACTACTCCAGTTCCGGTCACATAAAGAGGAATATTCCACTCTCCCGGGAAAAATAGAAATAAGCGTGCACATTTGGATTTCCTTTCTTTTGCTAATTTATAAAAAATTGAGCATCTAGTCTCCTCGAGCGGAAAATGCTAGTCTTGAACCCCCCTCCCTCCATGAACTATACCATACCATCTACCTGGATAAAATAAATAAAACACGCTTTATTCGGGGGAAAATAAAATATATATATTATATCACGAGTTCTCTTTAATTCGCGTAGTTATTTTAATGTATCGTACAGTTATAAATATAATAATATGCTGATCTTGAAATACAATTTCAAAATGGTTAGCTAACGGAAATTGAAAATAAGAAATAATTCTACGAATGAACAAATTGCGATAACAGCGGAAGCCTTTCTAAAGTTATAAAAATAGCAAGAGGCATAATAAGTGTTTTGTATGGCGATTATTTTTTGCGATAGATGATATATTTATTTTTTTTTAAAAAATTGATTGACTGACTTTTAAATAATAACATTAAAAAGTCCATTCATAATTTAAATCATAAATATAGGTAAACAACATATTTTAAGGTACGTTTTTTTAAACGTAATTTTTTTTCTAAATATTCAGACAGAAAATAATTTTTTTAAATAAAAAATATGATTACAAAACAAATGGAAGTAGTGTTATTAAACAGCTCATTTTGAGCCAATTTTTAAAAAACAGGTAACTCAATTTTAAAATTATTATTGCAAGCCTTAAAATTTTGCTTACAGGTGGCACAAAGGTCTGAACATCCATTAACGAAATATCGAAGCTTAGACAATATCTTTCTGGCTAATATATTTGGTTAGCGTTTTTAAAAATCGGCTCAAATCGAGCCGTCAACAATAAATGGAAGCACATTAATTTTCTAGGCGATTGGCGTGTATTTTTAGATATACCAATCTATCCTCACCTAGATAAATCGAAATTTTATGAAACTAAAAATGAGTTAAGGAAGCAAGGTATTTTTTTAAAAAAATATAGTATCATGTTATATTATAATGATCCTTTTTTTTAAAAAATGAGTTGATTTCGTTTCGACCAATATCTGAGCAAAAATTATAAAAAATAACTTACATTTTTATGAATATTAAATGTACATAATATAGTATAGTAACAACAGTTTATGCCAAAGATAATGTATTTCTTTCCTCAAAAATGGGATAAATTTTATGCGAGGGGAGGGAGTATTCTTAGAGGTATTAAATCAAAGAAATTCTGAAAGCAATGATAAAAAATTTTTTTTGACTATTTTACTTAAATTCTTTAGATATGAGTGCACGGAATATCAGTTGAGACAGATTTTGCCGAAGAAGGACATTTTAAGGATTTATAAATCTCCCTATAAAAAAATTTTTCGGGTAGTATGCAAAATTTGTTAAAATTTTTAATTTAATTTTATTCGCGTTTATTTTATCTAAATATTTTGTTGTAAAGGGAAGTATCTCGTTATGAACCCGTTTTCATTTTTCTTCTTTCCTCACGAATATAAAGTTCTCCATTTTGTTCTTCGGCAGAATACATATTTTTAAAGTTATCTTCATCAATCTAGGAACCATTTAAAATGATTCTATTTTAGTGTTAGCTAGCATCCAATATGTCTTTGAGTTCTTTCAGGTTAGTTTCCAAGGTATAAACTTGGTCCAAGTCGTCGGTTTTAAGAGCCGTTTCCAAATAACCAGTTATTATTTCAATTTGTTCCCTCAAAACCTTAGGTAAATAAAATAGATAAAAGTATGTTTTTTTAAAAAAATATTATATTATATATTCATGCAATATTGGAAGTCAAGCAAAGTACATAGCGTGGCAAAACTGTCAGCTCATTTATTTGATTGTGCAAAACAGCTGATTTTGCCGGAGATGTATTATAGTAAGTGTAAAGTATCTATCCTTATTTAAAAAAAGGCAATACATACACAATGTACAGCCTAATTTCCAACATTATAACATAATAATATATAAACAATTTGGTTATTAGTGTGTAAAAATGTAGTATTTTCGTTACAAAAGTTGATTAATTTAAAAGTATAATACAAACAGTTCTTTTCCTTTTTTTTGTTTAAATTTCAAAAAATTGTGAAAAACATCTTTTTCTTCTAGCCCAATATTTTTCGAAAGAGCTGGCGAGACGGGCGAAGATACGAGTTCAATTACTCTTTCATTTTTCGTATTAGCCAATTCCTTAGTACTGGTCCCATGTTTGCTCAGATGTGATTGGTCAATTTTTAGGGATTGTGATTGGTGAGCTGGAGTAGTTTTTTCATTGTCATCCGGTACTTTTAGGGGAAGAGGTTGAATGGGCTTTAAAATGAAGAGTACTATTTAAGCAATCGGATTAGATAGAGAAAAATAAGATATAATATAAAAGGACAGCATAAAAATAAGCGAGACCACACAGCCATAGTCGGTTATAATTTTTAATGTAGTTATGCCTATCCTTGAATTGTTTAGGTAGGTTTTAAAGCCGATTTATAAAAACACTGAATTATTTTGCTTTAAAGAACTTTTCTATTTATGTAGACAAAATCGAAATAAAAGATTTACTTCCCATTCGAACAGTAAAACTATAAACTTCAAACATAAAAATTATATCGGTTCCAGGTAATAATTCATGGAGCCATTATATGAGTTCTTAAATTTTTTGAAGCTTAAAAACTGACTTAAAATTAGACTATCTTTCACAACATATACTGCTTAGCAAGCAAAAAAAAACTTAACCAAAAATGAAGTGCCATATTGATTTGCTTCTCACATAAATTGTAAATTAACATTAAAAAATATAGTATGCTTTTTATTATAGATCTTACGTATAAGAAATATTTATTTATTAAATATTTTATTAAACGACATTTCGAAACAATTTTTTTTTAAATGGCGTCGTTTATTAATTATTTTTCTGTTTAAATCAATATGGCGAAAACGTTAAGCAGGACTTGGTAACATCTAGCGCCATCTTAGAAATGTGCGAGTAAGCAATTAAAAGAGGTTACGTTCTCTAATATATATATATATAACAACTTATACCACGACATGGCATTTGTCGCTAAGCAGCGTTTCGTCGAAGCTGGCTTGATCTGGGAGCTTGGGTAGGGTGAGAAAATTGTCCTTCAAAAATTTGCAAGACATGGATCTTATAGCTTTAACCAGGTTGAGATTAATTTCGGCTTCCGGATCCATAACACCGGTTAAGATTTGTAAAGAACGGCTTGCGAAAAAGAAGAGAAAATAAAAATTATACATATGATAAATGGAATGAATAACGAGGTCTCGTTGGCTCTTACGAGAAAGTAAAAATAGGAATTAATTCCACTATTTTTTTCATTCTTTCATTCTTTTTTTTCTTCTTTCTTGAGTTTGAAATGCTTTTCCAAAGATTTCATCGCGGATCAAAAAAAAAATCTAAATATTTTGGGCATAAAAAAATACATGTTGAAATCCCTATTTATTTTTAACAATAAAATAATCTGATCTTCTTTACACAAAATCTTAAACTTTGTGATCCTCGAAAAATAAAATAATTTTTGCTCAAAATTTTTACTCTTTTTCTAACCTACCCCGATAAGAATTTGAGTAATTTACATTTCCAAAATTAGTAGTCAATACATTTTACTCATAAATATGGCTAAAAAATTTCTAATTAATTTCATTAAGCTAAGACGGGTATTAACATTTTAAAAAAACGTAAACTAAATTGACATTTTTTTTAAAGCTAAAATAAAAAGGTTATATGATGCATGATTGAAATTGACCGCAAAACGCAAAAGCCTCATTTTGAAAACACTAAATGTGTGTAATAATAATTAATGCCTCCAAATTGGGTTGAATCTGTGCGTTTCAAAAAAAATAATAAGTTTGGTGCTACTAAATTGGGATGGTATTTAATAGGAGGAAAATATTTATATAAATAATAAAAAACGCAATTATATTTGCGTCTTTTTAAAAGCAATATTTAAATTTATTTGAAAAGGGGAATCAGTTGAAACTCAACGCAATCTTAGAAAGGCTCAACTTGGAAGCAATATAATCATTTTGAAATTATTATAATAAGGATTACTTTTTTATATGTATGTATATAAAAAGACAAATGCATCTAATTAGAATAAATAGATTTTCTAAATATTTTTTTACGAACGTATAAAATTTAGCCGATGATTCTGGCAGGAAGCGAAAAAAAAGATTTTTATCTTATAATGTTACAACAGACGATTTGTAAATAATTTTTAAACAGATTTGCATAATTAAAATTAGTGTTGTTAAACGGTTCGATTTGATCCGATTTATAAAATATTGCCTAAACCTCTAGGTTTGGTTAATAGAAGTCCAAGCCATCTATGACCAAAATCTTTAGGTTTGCATAATATTTTTGTAGATAAAATATTACGTTTGCCACCATTTAAAATTGTACAATATAAGTTTGAAAAAAATGATAATCTACGAAAGATAAAATCCTTTATTTAACTTACCGCTTTAGCGGTGTTAAATGACTCAATTTTTTAAAAACGGCTAACCCAAATATTTTAGTTAAAAATGTTTATGCAAGCCCTTCGAAATTTCGTTGATAAAAGTCCAAACCTTTGCGCCATCTACGAGCGAAATCTCCAGGGTTGGGTAATATTCTTGGCTAAAATATTTAGGTTAGTATCAATAATGTTCGATTATTCGACATCTTTTTCAAAAAATATGAAAACCTCAAATGTTCTATCTTCTCCCCGTTCCTCATGATCTCTTCTCTCATTCTGCGGGCTTGGTTGTATTGCTGAATAGATTTTCCGTAGGTGCTTTTTTTTTGAAAAAAATATAATTTAATTTTAAAAATAAAAATTATCTCGATTTTAAAAAAAATGTATGTGTTTTAGGAATGGTCAAATTTTGAGACAAAGTCCGCTTGATCTTATTTAAGCGCGTCCAATAAAACGCGGTTGTATTATCGAGTCATAGAATGGATGAGTCATGTATAATATTATAATTAAGGATGGGGTTATATTGTGTAAGCATTGTTTTCCTTTTACGTCATTGATTGTAATGCATTCAAATGTGAACTGTAAGCATTTGCGTTCGTGGTTGGAGATAAGGCGAAGTTTATGGACATAATGAATAAAGTTGGTGGCATATTCATTTAGTAATTCTCTATTTCTTTCTTATTCGTCTTTTTCTTATTTAACCCACCCTTTCTTTTTTCCTATTTTTGTTTGATTCTTTCTCTTGTTATCGCTTCCATATAATTCATAAATTTTTTTTTAAAGGGAAATGAGAATAATAATTAGGAAGAATTGAGAGAAGAAAAAAAACCTCAATGAATCCACTTTTGCCGAATAGGACGGTAGTAATTTGCGCACTTCTATGATGCATCTGTGCATTTCCTGAAAAAATAATACACCAATAAAAATATATTTAAAATATAGTCGCCCGAGAATTAGAATATTCTATCTCCACTTTTTTTGTAATTTAACAAAAGAGAAATTTAAACGATTAAGTTTTCATTGTTTTGAATAGTATGGTTTCAACCTTATATCGGATTTAATTTGAGTTATTTTCATAAATTTCTCGGATATTTTAATGTTGACAAAAAGTGGATATAGAACAATCTAATTATCTAACGATGATATATCTAATTCAATTCATTTTCTTTTCTTCTTTCAAGAAAACTAAATAATTTTATTTATTATAAAATGACGAAATCGGGAAAAAATTGATATATATTATTTTTATAAAAACGACATATTCTTTATGAGAAATGCATTACCTGATATGTGGTCAAAAAGTGGGCGACCTTAGCTTGACCTGCTGATTGCTCCTCGGTTGAGATGGGTATGTTACTTTTGATCAACTGCAATCGTTTATCCACGAGGTAAGAACAGTCCAAGCATGCCCTGAAATGAAATTGTCCAATGATAGCCGGTGACGGGAAATAGGAATTGTAGGAATTTATGCTCGAAATGCTATCGGAGCGTTTAAGTTTAGTTAATATGGCCAGGCCTAAAATATTATATATAGATAGTTATGCTATTGCTATAGTGCCAACCTTTCTTAACTGAAGACTTAAATTTCAAAATGTTATTAATTAGCCTCGTAAAAAAATAAAATAAAATAAATTAAGGCTATCTTTAGTGGCTCATATCAGGTTTACTAATCACGTGATTAAACAAATAGCCGCTCAAGAAATGGGGTGGTGATCTTACTGCGCGTAGTGGATTAAAATTTTCGTTCTTTCCGCCTCATATGCGAGAATTGTTAAAAGGTTATATGATAGACCTCATTTATTGATCTTAAAACAAACCAACAGTATAACAATTTTAGACCAATGCTATCATCCTTAAGCACCCTTAGTAGATAGGAAAAGATAAATTAAATAAATTTTTTAAAAGAGAATAGACATTGAAAAGAATGGGTAAAATTAGAGAGTAATTTCCTTAAATTAAGCTGCTCAGAGGTTTTGCTATGTTTTTTTGGTGCCAGTTAGATTTACTAATGAGTAGTGGAAGTCAACCGGATCAGCTCACTTAGGCCGCTACGACAAAAAAATAGTATTCGGATATATTTAGAACGAATTTAATAATAAAATAGATTCTAGTTTTATAATCGGGCTTCCGGTTTTTGTTGACTTCCAACTATAACGAAAGTGAGAAAAGGATCGCATTGCCCGCTTCTCGCTGATAGGAATTTTTTACACCCCGCAAATTGGGCAGAATTTACATATGGTGATTATCTAGAGAAATCTATTCTTCGTATATGGTTAATCTGAGTAACAAAATTAAAGTATTTTACTCACGTGACGAATTTATGAAGCCGTTAGAGGTGGCGTGATCTCGATCAGCTACTAAGTGCTCTATCGTGATTGGTTGATTTAATTGTATCGAGGAGGAACGCTTGTGATGATCGGTTGTTGTGATGAGAAGGAAAATGTTGCATCGCAATTGGCTCATTCGAATTCATGATTGATGAAGAAAGTTGATTGGTTGAGATCTCCCTTTATATATTATACATATGTAAAATAGATAACAATTGTATAGATCAAGTTTAAACTTTCTATTTTTATATTTTAAAAAAATATATCATATTCAATATATCATATGAAAAAAAGAATGTCTTATTTCTTTAAGTAAAAATAAAAAAACCGATTTTATTGGGAAAAAAATTATTCATGAAGCTTCGAGTCTATTAACATGGAAAAGCGCTTGAAAAAAAAGATACCTCTCGTCATTTAATTTTTCATTAGCCAAAATCAAAAATTAAGATATTAATATAAAAAAAAATTTAAAATGGAGGTTTTGTCCCTTTGTTTATTTGGGTAAAATGCACAATTTATTAAATTATGAATTTTCAATTTTTTTTTTGGCTTAATTTAAAATTTTCGAAGAATTAATAATGATCAGAGACCTGCAGAGGCACTGATTGCACGGCTCGGCTAGGATTTTTTATGAACGGCCCGGATTTTTTTTGGCCCGAGTTTTATATTTTTAGGCCCAGTAAGGATTTCTTTAAAGAATATATTATATTAATTTTTAATTTTTATAGCTCATAATGACGGGTTTTAAAATATAAGGCAAGGCCCGGGTAACTAAGAAAATCAAAATACGGCCAGGCCCGAATACCAGATCTAGGGCCGGGCCTGCAGGTCTCTGATAATAATAATAAAATCTAAAACCGTCATTCATTTCTAATGATAACTTGTCAATTTGACAGGTGTTGTAATTGACAAGAGTCATACGTCGACTGTTCGCGAAAGACTTTACTTAGAGTTAGAACTAATTTACTAATGTCAAAAAAATGAATGTTTTAAAAAATAAATAACAAGAAAACCTCCTCACCTTAATAGGTTTGGCATTATAAACTAAATTAATACCTTTTTCCGGGATCATTTATCATCAGATTATAATAATTTTTCTTGTTTAAAAGATTTTCAATAAAGAAAAATATTACGAGGAAAAAATGAAATTTTTTATAATTATAAGCAGATTATCTTTAACTTTTGGCTGACCAATAAAATGTAAAAAAATCATATTGAAGAAAAGAGAGAGAAAAGAAGAGAAGAAAAGAGAAAAGAAGAGAAGAAAAGAAGAGAAGAGAAAAGAAAAGATTATTTCTTTTAGTTCAATAATAAATTGAAATAGGCACCATGTGTTTAAGTAATACATGACTATATAGGCAATGCTTTGAATAAATTTTTAAACAAAACATCCCAAAGCTTAAAAAAATAAATATTAGTGGAATATAATTTTTTCGAAAAAACATGATTTTTCTGCAAAACAATATTAGAAAATATTTCAAAAAAAAACTATTTGTAAGACTTAAAGAGTGCAAAGTAGAATTTGTAAATAAATATAGATTAGTCAAATTAAGAGACAAAAAAAGAATACAATTCCATTTCCGGTTAACGTATTCCACGACAAAATGGACACTATATTTTTTTTTATAAAAGGATAAATCTTTACGAATTGGGAAATAGATTTATCTAGGATTTTTCCTATAGAAAGGGAAAACAGTATTATGCATAGTTTTCCAGCATAAATTCTTATTAGAAGTCATTAGGTCTACTTATTGAAGGCCATTTATACATATCTGGGTGAGAAGAGAGTTTTTAAAATATTTAATATTAAGAAAATTTGTGATGAGAGAAGGGGGGGGGGGGAGGGGGTGGTAAAAAAAATATAGTTTGTATTCCAAAAACCAAAAAAGGTACACAATTGGCCAATAGATTTATGAACCCATGGGTCTATGTAAAACTAAATTTAATTTTAATTAATTTAATATATAATTTTTTAAATATATATCATAATAAAAAAGGCAGTGGGTTTTCATATATCCTTCTAAAAATGTTAAGAACTTTTATTGAATATAAATGGGTGGTGATTTTTCTATGGTAAGCATGATGGAGGTCATATTTAATAAGATATTACTAATTTATAACATGACAATTGTGTTCTTACCTATCAACAACAATCTTCTCAGTTGTGACCATTGTTAATTGGTTCAATGGAGTAGTTTGAGTAAAAGTTGAAGTTGGTATCCGATCGATCTGATTAGGAGGACTCATCACATGATTAATATTGTCATTCTCTTCTATTATTAACTTGGGTGAAATGAGGGCCTCTGTTTTATTTTTTAATAATTGTAGGAAAAGAATATAGAAAATAAAATTATGTGAACTAAAAAATGATCATAAAGGTTTATTAATGTAAAATTTTATCAAAAATATGTGTTACCTTATCCTAGGAAGAATTTTTAATGGAAGAAATTTTTTTAAAATTTAATCATTTTATAACATGCAAAAACTATAAACAAAATAGCTGAATTTTAATAAAATTATAATCACTCTATGGACATATTTTAATAAATTTATAATACAATCAAAGATTTAAATATTTTGCCAATAGCAATAATTGTTTTTTTACGTGCTTTGTGATAAGATATAAAAATTGAGCATTTATGGCAAAGTACAGCTCCACACAATCTACAATGATGTTTTCTTCTATGTGTTAATTGGAATGATTTGTGGCAATATGGACAAAGACTGACTAAATGATCTGGAACCCAATCAACTATAGATTTTTCAAAATCTTAAAAAAAATATATCATTTGCAAAATATTATTTATTACTTTTCCTAAGATTCAAATCTTTAAAATTGTCATTGTTAATCAAAGCATCAATCTTTAATATTAATTTATTACTCTCCTCTATGTATCTGTCAAATCTAGTAGCCCTCATTTTTTTAAAACTTTGAATATGATTTGTGACTTGACCTGTAATAAATATATTTTAATAAAAGATATGTTTATTAATATCCTACCCAATGGCTGAATTTCATAATCATAAGAAAGTTTTTCATTGAGGTTAGTTCCTTTGTATATAGACTTTTCTTTTTCATACCTGGGTCGTAAACTAGATTGGTCAGTTGAGGATTCTATTTTAAGTACCTTTTTAGCTTTCCCAAATATCTCTTACATTATATAAACTTTTATTTAACTTTTTTATATGATAAAGAATACCCTTAAAGGACTGTAATATATCTTTTTCTTCTTCGTGTACTTCATCAAAATGAGATTGCAATTCAGAGATATTTCCCAAGTCTCGATAACATATTGGGCATAAAAACCCTTCTTTTGCAGCCTCACTCATGGCAAAAAATCCATAAGGTAAAATACTTATTCACATGTTATTGGTTTAGACATACACCACTAGGTCAAAATATTTAAGATTATTCTTCATTCTCAATCATCATTCTATTTTTAAAATATTGAGACTATCTAAACATTTCAACTAAGAAATTATATTTGGCCTAAAGAAGAATTTAAGATAGCTCCAAAAAAAGCGAAGTAGTAGAAACATCTTCAAGCCATAATTCGGTCAATCACTATGGATTTCAACAAAATGTTTCTACATCCCGAAATTCTTTTTGCCCACAAATCACAAAAGATTTACTTTGAGTAAAATATAAGCAAAATACCTGCTTGAGAATTATCAAAAATATCTTCAATTACTTGATCTTCAGAGATCAAATCTTTTAAGATTTTTGATAGTATTGCTAAACGGCCCGATTTAGTCAATTATTAAAAACATACCGATTATATAGAATATATCTAATTAATTGCTCAACTCATTTGGATATGTCCAACATAAGCAATCCCCCCTCACCCTCCTAAGATGATGACTTCATTGCTATATAGTACACCTACCCCCTTACGTAAACAAAAATAAATGGAGAAAAAGTTTTAATTATTTTCGAAGTACTGGAATAATATTTCCGGTAAAATCAAAAACTTTTTTAAATTTAAAATAATCTCACTCATTAAATGATTTTAAAGTAAATTAATTAGATTCTAAAATTTACATATATTCCATCAGCGTCTACATGAGTGGGAGGGGTAGGAACAGTTTGCATCATATTTTTTGAGGGGGTAGGCTGCTTTAATGGGGGTATGATAAATTTTTTTGGGGGTTATCTATTAAATTTTGAGATCAAATAGGACAAAATTTTTTGCTGTAAAAATTAATACTTTTATTATAGAATTATTATAGTACAATTCATCTACCAAATCTATATATTACAAACAATCATACACATTGTTTTCCAAATAAAACTTTCTGCTATTCTTTGTAATGTAATTTAAAAGGTTTAGATATTTTAGCAAGCTCATAATGCCATAATAATTAATTTATTGTAAATAATGGAGGTTTTAATTGAATTTATTATCTAAAAATAAATTCTTTATATTCACAAAATATCGATAGTTGGTAGTAGAGATAGATTAATTTAAGTTATCCTTTATTAATTCTCTGAAAAGTGTATCAATAAATTAAAAAGGTGAAAATAATAATAAAGAGAAACCGCCGTCTAAGGCGGCGAGAATTTTTAGGGGGGTAGGCATAGGTTTTTGAAGGGGCTTTGCATCCAGTAAAAATCCTGTCATGTAGACGCTGTATTCCATATCCTAATTACGAATATAAATATATATATATACACCTATTTTTTCTATATTTTTAATCAATATAAGCTACACAATATGAAAAAAACACACAATATGAAAAAGATTTTAAAGAATATTTACTTTAAATATTTATGAATATTATATTATATTAATTCGAATCTAGACATGTTATAATAAAATAAATGTTAGTATAATAAAATTATATACAGAAAGAAATTAAAATATGTAAAAAGGATTTTTTAAAAAAAAGAAGGCTTCCAATGAAACTGATCTAATGGGAAGAGATGGAATTAATTAATTATCAATATTAGATCCTATATTAAATTTTATCAATCATTATAAATTGGGATTCACTAAATGTGATTTGTTTTTAATAAACATTTTCAGGAATGTATTGCTTAAATATTTTGACATTAACTCATCTATGACTCTTTATTTTTTTCCCCTTATATTTTAATATATTGTGCGTTAAAAAATGATCCATAAATTATAATATATTTATTTTTTTATTGAGAAGATATTTGAATGAACTTTGTAAAGTGGGTACAATTTTATATAAAGAAAAATCAGGCCTAATCAGAAATCATATATATCACATGTTTTAAAAGTATTTTGAGTTCCCAATTTAATCATATACATATTAATCAGAAATCCAGTTTTATAAAATTATAATTGTTCGAATTGGCTCGATTATCACATTTGCAATGTTTATAATTCTAGAATTTGAAACCGGAACCAAATTTTTTAAATTTCCAGCGACCGTCCCAGTAAAAGTGCAAGTAATTTTTTTTTTGATTTGCTTTGATACGAGAGCTGCTAGCATATTCGGAACGTGGTCAAATCTTTATGACTTTAAACCTGAATACACTTTTAAAAATATTTTCTCAAGTTATAACGATAAATAATCTGTGAAGTATGCAAATATGTCTGGTAAAAGTAATTTTTTTTATTTGGAGTATTTAATTTTTGTAGTTCGATTTTCCATATTTTTTATAAATGCAAATATTTGATTTTGGATAAATTATTAGCTATAAATTGTAAATATTCTGTTTTTACTGGCATTCAAATAATTTTTGCATGAAAAATATTTAATTTGTATATAAAGAAATAAAAAATTTTAATCTTCACCATTATTTATTTTTTATTTTTATTTTATGAAATAAAGGATATTTTTTACTTTCAAAAGTTGTTATTAAGATAAATTTTTCCCCGATAGATTCGTAAGATCCAACAATAGTTTAAATGTTAAATTCAAATATGGCGGATTCTTTCTCTTTGCCATCTCTAGTCTCATTTTTCATTTATACGCTTTGTTTTAGAAATATTATAATGAATGAATAATAGAATTTGTTAGTAGAAAAATGAGCAAAATTTTTAATGAAATTTTTTTTATGGCTGTCATTTTAATTTTATATTTTTAATTTATTAAAACCTATACAAAATGTGTATTTGCATATAAAATTTATCTAACCCTTGAATTGTATAATGAGGGCATTGAAACACACTAGGTATTTTTAAATTGCTACAGAAAATCTTGTGCTTCCTATTTTATGCTAAACTGTGTTTTTGCAAAGTTGGATTCATTTTTACTTAATGGTTTTTATATAATACAAATATTTTTTTAAGGTAAAAAGATTAAATTTTAAATTGGTTATAATTTTTTTTAAAAATCTTTGTTATTTGTAAATAAGTTTATATATATTTTATACTAATAAATAATATATAATTAAATTTTTAAATATTGCATGATCAAATAGTAAAAATATGAAAGATCGTATTTTAAATTTTGCTTTATATCCACAACTCTTTACAAAAAGGCCAGCAGTGATTATGAATTGCAATTTCCTTAAAAGCTCATTTAATGACAGTAACGCCTTCTTGTATCTCTCACTTCCCGCCTCCCGAAAATTCTAGACATATCACAAACTAATAATTATGTATATTTCATGATTTAAACCCCTCCCCCCCCCCCGAGATAGCTACCAGATACCTTCGTTAGCTGACCCTTGGCTCATGGACCTAATACATTTTCTAGCAGACCTGAATTTTTTTAAAAATAATTTAAAGGGCTTGGGGTCCTAAAATTGTTTCATTTAAATTAAGCGTATTTAATATAGTTACTAACTCTTGTGATATAATATAATTTATATTAAAAAGGTTTATTATTTTTTTTACTCTTTTCTGAGGCGATATTTTATTATTATAATATGTTCAGTTTATATTTAAAATGTTCATATTTTTACTGTTCTGTTTCTTATATATAAAAAGCATACAAGTTTCGCAATAAAATATTATCGCTACGATTAAGACTAACCCTTATTGACCATTCCCCACTCCCTACACTAACATAAAAAAATAATAAATTTATGTATTCCAAACAAAATGATTGCCTAAAATAAATGCAATAAAATATTTTTTATTTTTTAATCCAATAAATTTTTGCATATGGGCTTGGGAAAATATTTTGAAACTATATTAAATATGGGCCTATGTATTTTAATGTTTATATATCACTGTAGGCGTTATTTTTATATTGTATTTTGTTCAATTGTGACCTGATAATTGGATATTATATTATGTTTATCTATAGCTCAATTCTGCTATCTCATCATTCATAACTCCCCATGATGATCTTCTTTCAGCAGCAATGGAAAGATGAAATCTCCTAACCCTAGACGGTTATACATTTCCTACCAAAATCTCTAACAAATCTATCATCGAACCCCTAATAAAAAAATTACGTTTTAACCCTACCGAAATCAGCGATATACAACTATTACAAAACAAAGATAAATACGGCGGGCATGAATGGCTCGAAGCACTTCCAAGCTAAACCTTAGATAATCTATTAACCAATGACCAACTGAGAGTTATTATAGGCTTTAGACTTGGATGCTAGCTTACACATTTACACTCTTGCTACCAATGCAGCCTATCCGTTCAACCTAACGCCAGACACGGTATAAACTGCACCCACAGCCAAGGTCGCCATCTCCGGCATAAAGTTAATAAAATCATACATAACGTTTGTAATAAGGCTAAAACACCCAACATCCTTGAACCTACCAACCTCTCATTACAGGACGGCCTCAGACCTGACGGCTTAGCCTGCACCCCTGGTCCAATGGGATCCCTTATTTGGGATGCAACCTGCGTATCATCCTTTCCTTCATCAATTAATAAAACCCTCTTACTTGTGGGGAAATTAAAAAAAATTATATTCAAAATTAAATAACTTTATATTTCAGCCAATAGTCATTTCAACTAATGGTAATTTTTCACAGTCTACATATATTTTTTTAAAAACTTTATCACGAAAATTTTTTAGCATAACAAACGAAAATCGCGAATCCTTATTTCTTAAACAAAAACTTCAATTGGAAATTTTTAAGCACAATTATATTTGTTTTTTAGGTACATTTTAATGATTAAATTAAGCTCTTTTTAGAGCCTTCGATACTATTAATATATATTTTTATTTAGTAATTTTATATATTTTTTTGTTTATTTTGATTTTAAAAGTTAATTAGTTTATATATATTTTATACCGAGATATAATAAAATTTCCTTAAATTACTATTTTCGTTTCACTATCAATACAATACTATATCAAAATTGTTTTCCTATTATTATAGACCACAAACCCCAGCGTTAGTGCAATATCCCCCTCCTTATTGCAACACTAATATTGTTTTTGACAGCGGGCCTAATCAAAAATTAAGGCCCAAGTGGGTATCGTTCTGGGTACCATATCTATAAATATTAAAGAAAAAAACCACATATCGTCTGTTTAGTATTATAGTGCTCTATTTTCATTTAAAAAAAAATTGATAGAACATTTAAAAGAAAGTATTTTATGTACTTTAAATGGGAAATTACAATGAAATAATGCAAATAAAAAATTATTCTCAACTATGCTGATACAAAATTTTTTTTAAAAAAATAACACTTTGTAACAAATAGAACACTATAATACTAAGCGTTACGATATAATAATTTTACTAACACCAAATTCCATATTAAATAATTTCTTTTAATATATAATTTTAACCACCTACACCATATCTGGCGGCCGTATAATCTCAATAACGTTTAAGAAGGTTTTTCTTCTACCCTGAGCCTACATCCATAATCTCTGCCTCTCGAAACTTAATATAATAGTGATCATTTATTTTTTTTACTCTTAAGGCTGTATCCTAAACCTGGTTTAAAAATTCGAAAAAATAAAAAAAAAACTTTGAGAAATCGTATGTTATAATTTTATAGAATTATGTTTATTTGTTTTTATTATCATATTAAAAATAGCTTATTTCTTCTTTCGTTTAAATTTTCGAAAGTTTACGAAATATATTTTTGATATTTAGGACACAACCTATCTAAAATGTTATTTTATCATTCAATTAATTATTATACATATAAAACTATCCAGCCCGCCTATTTATCTATAAATCTTATAACCCCCCCCCCCCCCCTCCCCTGACTAATGTTTAAAAATTATTTTAAGGCAGGTTTGTCTATTTATTCATTTATTTTTTTAGATTAAACATAATATAATATGCAATATTATATTATAAAACTTTTATATTTAATAAATTCAAGTCTGTTCTGCTCATTACGCCTGAAAAAAAAAAATATTATAATTTCACCCGTCCAAGGCCATTACTTAAAATTTTTTTTAACCCGCCCAATGTTGGAAACATTTTAGAAAACCCGACACACTCCCGCCCAATGCAGACCTCTAATGTGTCTTGAGATATGGCAAACAATATACGAGTAAAATGTACAGTGTTGCATAATATAATTTTGATTAAAATCGACCCGAATTTGGATATTTATCTGTTTTTTTTTAAAAAAAAAGGAAGTAATTTTAAGCAATTTGTTCAGTTACTTTTTTTCTTCCAAACTCTGATATTTAAGTGCAAAAGAGAAAGAGCAAAAGTACTTACTAACACCATTTTCAGAATATTTTATTATAAAAATGATCAAGATATTTAAAATTAAATACAATACATAAAGATTATTAATAATAATAATAATTAAAAAAAATTTTTTTTATATAATAATAATAATATCAAATGGGCAACAGGGGGGTCGGTTTATGAATAAAATTCCTAAAATACGTTGACAAAATTATTATCATTTTTTTTTTAAATATAGTATGTATATATATATATATTTTATAATAATCGTAAATTTTACAAATATAATTCAATAAATATTTTCTTAAAATATGTATATATAAAATAGTTAACATTTATAATAGTTATAATGTAAATTTTATATATATATAATTTTTTTGTAATGCCACGATTCAAAAAAAAAGTAATTGATTAGGAAGAATAAATAAAATAATTAATATATATATATACAGGTTAAAACCAAAATGGGGGAAGGGGATGGTATATGGCCTTTTAATAGTGTTGTTGTTGTTATAAAGAAAATATTAATATAATAATGTTGATAAAACAAATATACTATAATAACACCGGATAGAATTTTTTTATCTAAGGAATACAACTTAAATATTGTTTTTAATAAATAAATTATGAAATGCTTCTCTTCATTTTAAATATAAATTATTGTATTGACTTTTTTTAAAAAAATATGTGTTATTTTTTTGTTGGAAGAATTTAAACATTTTTTTAAACCTAATTTTGAACCAAAAAAACCTACATAAAAAATTTTTTTCTTTGTTTTAATTTAATAAAATGGATCTGATTGCAAAAATAAGTTTGTACAAAAATATCCACTAGGGAATTTAATCGAGAGAAAGAAAGAGGGAAAAGGGGGGAAAGTGGAAGGAAGTGATTAAAGGTAAAATTAAAATTATTTATCGATTTTATAAAAAATTCAATCATAATTAAATAAATATTTCACTTCAAATACAAAAAAATAACTATTTTGACACACCATTTATAAAAAAATAAAATAAAAATTGCTTTATGTTATTTTTGTTTAAAAATGATTATTTTATTAAAATTAAATATATATATAATATTATAAGATTCGCCGGGTGATAATGCATTATATGAATTATTTGATTTTATTTTTTTTTCTTTTTAGACAAATTTTTCAAATCTTTTTGCCTTTTCATTTAAATCATTTTTTAAAAAAAATTTTTTTTTTGGGGGAGTGATAAATTTAGAGAAAAATCTTTAAAGGACTTGATAAATTATCGAATCATATATTTCAAAAAAAAAATGAAAATAAGGTGTTAAAAAAAAATAAAAATATTTATTACAAAAAAAGATTCTATTTTTCAAATATTCTAAAAAGGAACCACTAAGAAAATATCAGAGATTAGTAGCCGCGAAATAGATATAATCTTTCTAAAATCAAAACCGGTTGAAAAAATAAATAACAAATATGGGGGTATACAAAAAATACGTTTGATTTTTAAAATACGAATTTAGGAGGAAAAAAAAAGGGAGAGGCGAAGAAATGACTAGTGATTTTTTTTTCTCCGAAATGTCGCTTCGCGAAGAAAGCGTTTTTTTGATAGCGGATAATTTTGATATTTTTTTCAAGGAAAATCATTACCATTTTTTTTAAAAAATAAAATAGTAAATGACGTTCATCCAATTAGAATACGTTATAAATATAATTTATTTTGATTGGAGGTTGGTTGATTAGGTCATGTGTGCGCATTTTGATTATAGGTTTTTAAATCTAAACAATAAAAAATATTTGATAATATAACTTGACGTGGACTGATATTAAACTAATCCCATTCTTAATTTTTTAAAAGTATCGAAAAACTCAAAATTAAAGCCACTTATATTTGAATCTCAATTTTTTTTGTATAGTTAATATAATAAAGCGATACATTTAAATAGCAGAGCTTTAATTATAGGATGAGATGAAATCTTGAGACATGTGGCTGTTAATCATTCATTTAAAAAAGGTTCGCATAGCGGTAAAGCACCCGCATTAAAATCGCGTGCTAATAGAGGTCGGCGCGGACCACCCCGCGTTAAAATAAAGATATTCGGGCTGGGCTAGAAATTGGTGCCACATATTCTTACGGGCCGAAAGTGTGCAAAGGCAAAAAATTTACGCACGAGACTGAGGGGTCGGTTCGGAGTTCGGACCACGCTGACTTCAAAATTTTTTCGCGGAAAAGAAAAGAAAAGTAGGTTAACACGAATATCGTATAAAGATGGATGCTTATATAAGATCCTTCACTTTGTCATTCTATTATTCATTCGGTGTAGGAATCTAACTCGAAATAAAATAACAGAATGACAAAAAAGCGCGCCATAAATTCAAAATAATGAGATATAAACTTGGAATTTTACTTTTTTTAAAAAATCCACACACACACGCTAGATAAATTTTGGTAGTAAGATCTTGGATATCAACGTGCATTTGTTTGTGCTCAGAAAGGCGGAAGACCGTTAACGCCCCCTGGCCCAGCAACTATGTAATCGTAAATAAGTATAAACATCATTAAATATAAAATTATGTTTAAAAAAGTGTGGAAGGTTAGGTCCTCAATTTAGAGAGTTTTTTTGGTGGGAAAAAAACCAACATTTATTTATATTGTTTTTTTTTAAACTTTTTTTTTATAGATATAATCTATCAATCAATAATTATTATAATCGATTATTTAAAAAAAAAAAAACTTGTTGTTTTTTTCCAGTTTCTTATGATTTTTGTCAATGTTTTGCAGAGTTGTTAAAAGATACTTTTTAACTGGATCTAGATACAGATACAGATACATAGTCTCAAAAGTTATCTAGATACAGATACAGATACAGCGTCTAAAAAGTTATCAAGATACAGATACAATTTTTAAATGTATCTGTATATAGATACATTTTTTTATGCTCTTATAGGTTTGCATAAACCTAAATTAATATTATATTGTAAAAATTCATGAAATGAGCTAAAAATTTATTGACGCGATATAACATTTATCAGAATATAACTAAAATTATAATTTTAATATAATATATGAAAATATATGATTAAATAATTATTAGATTTCAGTAATAAAATATTTTCAAAATTTTGATCATTTAGGCATCCTCGTTTATCTGTGAAGACATTTTTAGCAACACTAAATAGTCTTTCCACAGGGGCGCTTGAAGGAATTGTAGTGTTATATTTAATAAATAACAATTTTATATCAGTTCTTTAAAAATGCTAAAATCTCTACATTTATTTTTGAAAAAGTTATTTAAAATTTGTTGATTTAGAAATTATATCTGCTGTAGGGTACTGAAAAAAATCTGAAATTAAATTATTTTTTTTTTTGGCAGGTTATTTGCTTGCAGTCAGTTGATGACTTTGATAATTCACCAGCTAATCTTTGTATCAATTGTTTTCTTTTATAATGGCTGCATGCCATCTATAATAAAAGCAATAATTAAATCATCTAAAGTGCCTTGAGTTTAAGTCAAAGGTCTTTTAGCAAAAATATTATTGGAGGATGAGCCTTGCCAATATTTTCTTTAGTAATTTATTTTCCTTCCCCTTTTTTATTTTTGTTAACAAGGTTGGATATTTTCTCTTAAAATTTTAATTAGAATTTTAAATATATAATATCTATACCCTTATGTGCTTCACGATATTGCACGTTGAAGTCATACTGACGATATTTTTGTATTTTTAGGTAGACACGGGAAACCTTTTACCATCAGAGAATTAATTGTTTTCTTTGTTTTGAGATATTATTTTAAAATATGCTCAATTTGGCCATGGTAAAGCAATAGAACTTGTTGCTTCCTCTTCTTCATCGATATAGATCTAAATAAATATATAAACTTAAAAATTTAGTTATAAAATAAAATTTACCATTTCCATATTGTAATATTAAAATTTGTATGGTTTATTGATAAACTAGGACATAATATTTAAATTAATGAATATTTATATATATTTTTTATATATAAGTTTTAATATTTTATGTATATATAATTCTTTATTATAGTATTAATAAATATTAATATATAATATATTTATTTATTTCATAAGCTCATATGAAATAAAATAAATTTTACAGTCAAATATTTTTATTTATAATAAAAAAAGGGGTATATAAAATGTATCTTAAAAAGTATCTAAAAACAGATACAGATACCTCTAAAAAAATATCTAGATACAGATACAGATACCTTTCTAAAAAATCTATCTTGATACAGATACAGATACTACATTTTTATATCTAGATACAGTATCTAGATACTTGTATCTAGATACTTTAACAACTCTGATGTTTTGTAAAACATCTTTACTCCAAATTAATCATTAAGGCTCTGTAATCATCCGTCAAGTTCAGTTTGAATTTCTATAATTTCAATCATAACGGTAAATCGAATGAGTTGGCACCCGTCAGCAGACTTGATCGGAAAATGTGCTTAAGCGGGGTCGGGTAAATAGTTCCATATAATAAATTTTAGATATGTGGGATGATGAAAGAAAGCCTCATGTTGGCTAGAATTTTATTTTGGCACTATTTACCGACCAAATGTGCCGCGAACGGCGATTAGAAGTTTCAAAAAAACCCGCGAAACTTTTAAATTGAGCCAACTAATTCTCTTTTATTATAAATAATTTTTCATCCAATAATGGGAATCGATAATGAAAACTCACATGCCACCGGAATAAAATGGGGCTGAAATTGAATGGCACCAGGGTGGTGAATGTACTGGGTGGCGAATTGGTGATGCAAATGATGACTTTGATTCGTATGGGCTTGAATGTGATTATGACAGGGGTCAATTTGCCCGTGTTGTGAGTTTGTAGAGAGCTGGGCCGGACTGGCGTAAAATATTTGGGCGGGTGGGCTAACTGGGATAGGCGATTGGTAGTGCTGTAAGGTAGGGAGCGTCGGCCTTTTGGGTTGAGCCGGTTGAAAAGCCTTGCAAGGTGGGAGGGGGGAAAGAAAATTGTTTCGATAATGTCAATTCGATGATGGATGGAAAAAAATGTATCCATTTTTGATTAAGAAAAAGTTTTAAAAAAAATATGCAAAAAAGAGAATTCTTTGAAATTTATAAATACAAAATATAACTAAAACAATTTTTCATTCATTCACTCCTAAGGCTGCATTCATAGTAGAATGCGACGCGGCACAATTTAACAGCTGATAGATTTTTTAAAATCTGCTTATGAGATCAATTTAATCGGGATCCCCGCAAATAGTATGGATCCTGACGTCGACGCCTTCTATACACGAGCCTTAGGGAGTCGTATATGAAAAATGTAAATTGGCATTTTTACTAAAAATGCCAATTTAATAATCGATCAGCTGTTAAATCTGCCGAATCGGGTACCACCATGAATACAACCAATCTTCTAATATGGCTTTCCCAAACATTCTTATAAAATTTATCGGATAATTGCCAGCAAAACTCACTCGGTTAGATGGTTAATATATAGAAAAGACCTGTAGATTTCGGTTCCCGTTCTAAATGGCTAAAACAAAAATAGCTAAAAATTGGGAACATGGCTTATATCTCCTAGAAAATTTTTAAAGTAAATTTGAAATTAATATTAATAGATGCCAGGGGATTAAATACTTGTATTTAAATTGAAAATTTTAAAAAAATCGCTAAAATGGAAGAAATATCATCCAAATGTTCCCAATTTTTAGCGATTTAGAACCTATCCCGAAATGGTTTTGGGGTCTAACCCTAATTTGGGAAAAAGAATCAGTAATCTTAAAAGCCGCTTTCACAATTAGCGCCAATTGGGCGAAGCGAATTAGCTCTAACCATGAATGAGGGGTTAAAATTCAGCGCGGGATTCTATTGGCCCGGATTTTTCAAATTTTTGAATAATCTTGGCTACATCTCGCAAAATTGTTTCAATGATAAATTCAAAAATATGAGCAGCAAAAATGAAATATGAAAAGCACTATTTTATACGATTCCCCCACTGGTAGTGTTGTTAAACGGCTCGTTTTGAGCCGATTTTTAAAAACGGCTAACTCACTATTTCACCCAGAAAAATATAACTTAAGCCTGAGGATTTTGCTTGTAGAAGGAACCAAGGTTAGGACATCTATTAGAGAAATCTCAAGGCTTAGGCTATATTTTTCAAGCTAAAATATCGAGTTAGCCGTTCTTAAAAATCGGCTCAAAATGAGCCGTTTAACAACACTACCCACTGGAATATTTATGTCATTTTAAAAAAATATCGGCTAAAAATCATTTTTTTTAAAAAAATAAAAATATTTTTTGCAAAGATAATGATTATTATTTTTTCGTTTAGCGAAAAACATTTACCGAAAAGTTATTCGACTAATCTTTGAGAGGGGTTCGAATACTATTGGCATAAAATTTGTAATTCCCATTTTGAATTTTTGTAAATGTTGTATTTATTCCATATTAATTCAACCAAAAAAAGTCGATTCTCAACCCAACCCCCTTCGATTTTTTTAAAAATTTGCATGTTGGTATTATATATATACACTAACTAATAAAAATGTAAAATTTTACTTTTCAAATCGCCTTACTTCATGGGATATGGCCATCTTTAGAAAGGCGGAAATTCCAAAATACACTATGTTTAATTTTAAATATCTCAAAAAGTAATTAAGCTAAAGACATGATTTTAATTTTATTAAATAGCTCTTTATTATGATATAAAATTTATTTTATTGAAAAAAAAGTATATTACCAAAAACCGGAAATAGGTATAAAATAAAAATTGCTCTTTTGTTTTCATTTAAATTTATTTTTACAGATTGACATAATATACTTCTTAATATTTGTACAAAATCCTAGATTGGGAAGAATACTGGGCCAAAAATTATTACGCTTTAAATATAAGTAGTATGGCTTAAATCCTATATTATACTAATTGTATAGTAATTTACGAAACAAATAAAAAGAAAATTCGTTTGAGATCGGGCCGGATATATTTTTTTATAAATCTTTCTGGCCGTGCTAGAAAAATTAGGCCCTAGGCAGATCACTAGTAGACATTGTGTCATATTTGGCACATAAGTTTAGATATTTTATTTTAGAAGGAAAATAATTGTAAAAATATTTATAACTTTCCAATTAATATTCTAATAAACATATTAATTAAATAATCTAATGAATTAGAATAAAATTTGACTTTCATTTTTCCTTCCCTTTTGCTAACAAATATATAATTAATTCTCGCATAATTATATAAGTCAATAGGAGTTATTATATGATTTTCATGAGGACGTTGCAGGCTTGCTCTAGACGCCAACCTCTTAGTAATTCCCCCTAAACTATCGCAAGGAGTTTTGCCATGTGCAGTTGCAAAAAATGCCATTCTGCCTTGATCCCAAAATCATTATAGAGGTTTACAAAGTGTTTTTGTTTTTATACTGGGTAACAGCTCCATCAGAAAAGTAAAATATTATTGAAATCTTATAAAATCTTTCTTTCAAGAATAGAATTAATTTTATTTGAAATAAGTGAAAGGAACAACAAGTATTGTGTTTGAGACAATCAGATATAATCACGTATCTTAAATGTTTGATGATATCGCCTTCGCGGTAATAAATCATAAATGGATGAAGTGTTGCCTGATTATTAGTCCAATGTAACCTTGAGCGTAATCTTGAACTACAAAAGCGTAGTTCTCTGCAAAATGGGATATTATTAGTTATTCCCCATCCTTCAAATTCGATTTTAATGACTTAAAAAATGAATATTGTTCCGAAGAAATAAATACTCCACAAATTTGTTGGCGGACTTTGTTAAAGTTTCGAGTGTAGTACGGTCAACTGCCAACCATTGTTTAAATGTTATATAATAAATGGTATTATTATCAAACAATAAGTGTGGTCATTCTTTAAGTTCCAAAGTGCCGGTACACATTTAGCATTTCCTTAAGTAACAGCAAGGCTGGGGTGGATTGCATAGACTTTGTGCAATGTAATGTTTATAATCTTTTAAGGGAGGAAATGGAAAGTTATGCTTTTACCACATCATTAACTCACAGAGTTGCTATGTCAAAAAATCTCGAATTTAAGAAGAAATTTGGGACGAATATAATCTTTAGGTTGGGTTGAAGAGATTAATGAGCTCACTTTTTATAATCATAGTTGTTACTTTATTGCTTATTTTAAGGTGTTTTGCGTTATATTTAAAATACAATACAATTTGGTAAATGTTGTTTTGAGTTTTTTAACATCTAAAAAATGCAAAATAATAAGATCTTTTAGGATTTTAGTTTTATTGCTATTATTCACTTATATTGTCCACTTTAAAAAAAAAAATTATTCCATATTTGGTAGGATTTAAGCCATACTACTTATATTCAAAGTGTAATAACCATTGACCCAGTACTCGCTCCAATCTAGGATTTTGTACAAATATTAAGAAGTATAATGTCTATCTGTAAAAAAAAATTAAAAGGAAAAAAAGAGCAATTTTTATTTTATAGCCATTTCCGGTTTTTGGTAATAGACTTTTTTCAATAAAATAAATTTTATATCATAATAAAGAACTATTCTAGAGCTATTTAATAAAATTTAAATCGTGTCTTTAGCTTAATTACTTTTTGAGATATTTAAAATTAAATATAGTGTATTTTGGAATTTCCGCGTTTCTAAAGATGGCCATATCTCACGAAGTAGGCTGAGTTGAGAATTATAATTTTATATTTTTACTAATTAATGTATATACTACCATCATACAAATTTTTAAAAAAAATCGAAGGGGGTGGGGTTGAATCTTCAGTTGATTTGATATGGAATACAACAAATATATTTTCGAAACTCTGATAAAAAGTATCGGGCGATACAAATAGATAAATCTGTGCATACCTTGGTTAAATTATAATCATAATAATATGAAATATATTTTCGCAATCTTTTTTAATAAGAAAAGTTACTATCTATCATATATTAATTCATATTATTGCGGGTTGCAACGATATATCGATGTCGATATTCGCGTTTTTGGAAAATGTCGGATATGCAAGATATTTTTTTAAAAAAAACCTGATACCTATTTTATTATTTTTTGGAATATTAATTTATTTTTAATAAAATGTTTTTTCATTCCTTTTAGAAACTAGGCTAACAATTCAGTTATTAATACATCGAAGTCAGATGTACTCGATCTCATTGGCTGTTAGTAAATGTCTTTCAATAGCGGACCTCAATTTGGGCACACTTTTGAAATCAGCTGTATTCGATCTCATTGGCTGTTAGTAGATGTCTTTCAATAGCGGACTTCAATTTAGGCACACTTTTTAATGCATCATAATAAAAGAATCGTTGGTTTAACGTCATTGAATATTGTTGAAGAGGGGGAATTTTAGTTATCTCGCAAAGAGAAAAAAATGTTAAAACTTATTATAATTAATCTTTAAACCACATTTTCTTGGGAGGAAATTTGACGCGATAATTAGACATCAGGGAGTTGAGATATATTTTTAAATGGTTTTTAATAAAATAATAGCGCGTCAAATCTGGCAGGTCGCGTGATTGTAAATAGACGAATAGAAATTTAAATAAATCAGCTGTTGTAACGGCGATTTCCTCGAGGTGGGCCATAATCGATTATTTTTTTTACCAATCGACAAATAAATTTACTCAAGATGCGATTTTTAAAAAATTGCAAAAAAAAACAAACTAATTTGATATTAAGAGACGTAAGGTTCCCCTTCTTTCGCCTAAATCAAAAATTTGACATGATTGGCAGAGCAACCTGAATCTGCGAGTCAAAGGTCGTAACTAAATGTTGTTAAACGGCTAAACCAATATCTTAACCATACAATATAACGCGAGCCTGAAGATTTTGCTTATAGATGGGCACTAATGTCTAGACATCCTATTAGCAAAATCTCTAAGCTTAGGCGATATTTTTCTAGCTAAAATATCGAGTTAGCCGTATTTAAAGATCGGCTCAAAACGAGTCGTTTAGT